TTGATTTAAAAGCTTCTTGCTTTACTTTTTGGGTTGCATTAGTGAATAATGGAGTCAGGTATTAGCAAAACACTGATTTCACAAATTTTAAAAAATATGTGTAGAAAACAGTAAAATTAAAATTGTCTGGGCAGACAGCTCTCTGGTTGCTCAGCACCCCTAAACCTCTGATCTAGAATCACCCCTGCTAATAACTAATCTACATCACTCCTTTGTTAGGTGTTCTTTCAACTGTAATTCAGAAATGGACGTGCAGACCAAGTGTAACCTCCAACACATACAGCAGGAGGTGCTCCTACCTCTCCACACACTCTGCCAGCAGGCCAGCTGTAGACAGAGCAGTCTGGACGTGAGACAGCCACTTTGAATTCTCAAGCTTGCTGAGCCAACGGTCCACATTGTGGGACTCATCCCCGCAGGCCTCCACCAGTTTAATCAAGCTCTCCTGGAGGGCCTTACCCCTGAAGTCACCAAGAAAATGATGATTAAAATGTGAAAGATCTGCAAAATCAATAACATGATTGCAACAAACCTTTCCATCTGTCTGTGAAGTCTCTTCCATCGGCTATAGAATGATTTAGACTCAAATCCTCCTCCTGTCATCCGAGCCTGCTGCACCTGCTGACTTGAGCGGGTGTCGATGATAAATCCTTTATCTGAGTCGTCAATCACAGCCTGAAGGAGAAGTTCATCTTCCTTGCAGCGTTTCCTGTTGGCGCCTGTTAGTGGCTGACTGCTGCGCATGATCACCTGCAGAAATACGGACCAGGTCGGAGATGAAACGATGTTGGCTAAATTGATCGTGCACCATGTAGCTTTACACATTCTGATGGGTTTAATCCACAAATCTCATGCTTTTTATTCGGATTATAGGTGATGGCAGAGAGGAAAAACAGAAAAGTTTTGGGTTTTTTTAATGTTTACAGGTAAGATTCTGAGAAGTGTGGCTTACCCCTTTGAGCTAAATTTAATCTACCTTTGTTCTTATCAAATCTAACCAGCCTCAGTATGCCTTCAAAAGAAAGCTATTTCCTCAGAATAATGCTGCCAAAACCATTTTTCAACATGTATTCAGGGGGATGATCGTTCTTCAGTTTCACTAACCATTTTACACATTTGCTTTCATCCTGCATAGCTTTTGGAAACCTATAAAACCAACTTCCTATTCATTTCCTTTAGCAAAGACAAATTTCTTCTTGTCAATTCTATAAAGCTTAGAAATATGTATGTATAACCATCGGTTGTCCAGTCAACATATTCCGTAAAAGCAGCCATGGGTCTTTTTTTGTTGTTGTTTTTTTTAGAGGTTGTTTACCTAGAGGTGAGACATCTTTAATTTATAGTTGGCTGACAGGAAAGGGGGTATAAGAGAGGGGGAGAGACATGCGGCAAAGGATCACAGGTCACAGGTCAGATTCGAACTCCAGCTATGGGTGTTTGCATCTGCTCCAGAGGTGACCTTGTAGCTCCTTCCTTAAAAAAATGCTCAGTTTCCCCTTTAGAATACTTGGATTGCTGTGCATCTGTAGGTTTGCATTTCTTCCATAATCTTTCAATTTTGGGATGCTGGTTTAAACAGTGATCTGTGAGATCTTCTGTGTTCAGCATCACATTTAATAAATTAATCCACATTATAACTGCTCAAAAATATCTCCTTTTCACCTGTGCAAAATTTTCCTCAATTTTCATGATGCTTTTTATTTATTTATGGTTTG